TAATTACACAGTTGGCAGTATAGTACAGTGGTTAATTATTTCCACTCTGGAGTCAGACAGATTTGGATTTGAATCTCTCTTTTTAAAAAATTGAGCTACAATTCACACACAAAAATATTCACCATTTTAAGGTGTTTAATTCACTGATTTTTAGTATATTAAAAATGTGCAACCATCACCACTATATAATTAATTACAGAACATTTTCCTCATCCCAGAAAGAAATTGTACCTGTTATCATTCCCCCTCCCCCTTTCCTGACCTTTAACAACCACTAATCCACTTTCTATTCCTGTGGGTTTACCTATTCTGGTCATTTCACATCAACAGAATCATACAATACACATGGCCTTTGTGTCTGACTTCTTTCACTCTGAATAATGTTTTCAAGAGTCATCCATGTTGTAGCAAGTATCAGTACTTCATTCCTTTCACAGTCAAATAATATTCTATTATATGTATAACCATATTTTCTTTATATGTACATCTCTTAATGGACTTTTGGGTTGTTTTCATTTTGGCTACCATGAATACTGCTACTATGTACATTTTGTGTACAAATTTTTCAATGAGTACATTACATTTACAATTCTTTTAGGTATATTCCTTGGAGTGTAATTTCTGGGTCTTATGATAACTGTTTAACATTTTAAGGAACTGCTGAACTATTTTCCAAAGCAGCTGCACCATTTTACATCCCAACCAGCAATGTATAGTGTCTCTAATTTCTTCACATTCTGATTGACACTTGCTATTTTATGATTTTGGCTTGTTTGTTGACAGCCTTCTTGGTGTATGTGAAGTAGTATTACAGTGTGGCATTGATTTGCATTTCTCTAATGGCTAATGATGTTGCGCATGTCTTCATGTGTGTTTTGGCTATTTGTATTTTATCTTTGAAGAAATGTGTATTCAAACCCTTTGCCTATTTTTAAATTGGACCATTTGTCTTTTTTATTGTTGAGTTATAAGTTTTCTGTGTTTCTAGATGCCAGATTCCTATCAGATATGATTTGCAAATATTTTCTCCTATTCTGTGAGTTGTCTTTTCACTATGTTGATGGCTCTGTTGGCTGCCCTAGAGTTTTAAATTATGATGAAATACCATTTATTTATGTTTTATTTGGTTGTTTGTGCTTTTGGTATCATTTAAGAAGCTGTTGTGGGCTGGGGTTGTGGCTCAGAGGTAGATCACTCTCCCGGCATGGCCCTGGGTTTGATCCTCAGCACCACATAAAAAATAAATAAAATAAAGATATTTTTAAAAAGCTATTACCTAATTTAAGTTCATGAAAATGTATACTTTCCTTCCCAAAATTTTATTGTTTCAGCCTTTACTTTTCCATTTTTGAATTAATTTTATATATGTTATGAGGTAGGGCTCCAGCTTCATTCTTTTGCTTGTGGAGATCCAATTGTCCGAGGACACATTTGTTGAGAAGATTCTTCTTTGTGTATTGAATGACCTTGAACCTCTTATTAAAAATAAGTTGGCCATAAATATATAGGTTTATTTCTGGAGTTTTATCCATAAGTTTGAATATTAGCATTACTATTTGCAAACAAGTATGACCTTGGACAAATTATTTTCTTGTAATAATATTACCACCTTTTAGAAAATTGAGGAAGCTAATTGAGATAATGTATGTAAAAGTGTTTTGATATTCATGGAGGTATAGAAAAATAGAACAGTTAGGAGGATGCTGAATCACTAAGAGTAACCAGAACCTCATAAATGAGAGTTTATGCATATAAATAAATGTTTGAAGAAGTTAATAAAAGTATCCAGTTCCCCACTATTGGCTAACGTAATTACTATATGATAATAAAATAGAATAGAATAGAAAAATTACTTACAATAAGCAACAGATTGTAACCATTTTACATTGTTCTTCATAGAGCTGAAATCAGTTAAGTTTGGTTACTTTGAGCCCTGTGCTGCTTGAGTTTTCTGTCAAGGACTCTTAAGAATCCTTTGAAAGTTATGGACAAGGGGCTGGGGATGTGTCTCAGTGGTAAAGTGCCTTTGGGTTCAAACTCCAGTATGAAAATAAAAAAGAACAAGTATTTTTGACCTTACTCAAGGTAATCCTGACCCATTGCACATTTTCCCATGCTCAGTTTCATAGTGAGTTTCAATGGTCACGCTGATTTGGGAACACGTTTTAGGGTTTCAGCAAAATAGGAGAACTTTACCTCTGTGTAGAATAACTCTTCTAAGACAGGAAAACTGTGGCACTCTGGTAGATTTTATATAGGTTTCAGCCATAAATGTGCTTTCCCCAATGCTTCTGATCAACCCAGGTAGCTTCTAACACAGACGCTGAGGAATGCAGACATGCAGCCCTGGAAGATAGTAGTAGAAGTGTAGTGTGAAGTGGAGATGGCCCTAGAGCAAAGAGATATGATTCTGGAAATGATCAGAATGAAGGAGACAGATTTGGAGGGACAGAGAGTCAAAAATAGAAGTAGAAACATGCTCTTTAGAATACTCTTATAAATAGTCAAGATAAAGTACAGTGAAGGAAGTGAGATGATTGAAATTAAAGTGTAAAGAGCACAGGTATTGGCATTAGATTGACCTGTGACTGAGTATTATGTTCCCAATTGATTTACTTAATAACCCTGAGTCCCACTTTCCTAACTATATGATGAAGATAATAATAATACCTTCCTCACAGGTATTGTGAAAGAATTCAATGAAATAATGTGTGTAAAGTGCTTAACATTGTACTCAGAATACAGGAGGTACTCAATAAATGCTAAATCCCTTCTTACTGCTACTTTAAGGAATACTTTATTAACAACTATTGAATACCTAGTTTGTGGAGGTGTCATGCTGTGGATAAAAATATGAAATCATTGATGTCCTGAAAGAGCAGAGAGAGTTCACTAGAGATACAGATATGTAAATGAAATGAAACAGAATGTTCTGGACATCACCAGTAGTTGAAGTTATAAATGTAAATGAGAGAACTCCTAGGTTTATAGGCTTGATATTTACCAGGCAGAGATAATTGGAAAAGGAGCTGATATTTTTTTCAAGGATAGTGGGGGAACACAAGTTCATTTATGGACATGTTGAATTTGAGCATCTAAATGAAATAAGGTGGAGCTAGCTTAGCAATATTTCTGCCTTGAGCGGAAATTGGAATCTTTCTTTTCTGAAACCTTTTCCAATTCTAAGATTCTGATATATATGTGCATATTTTAATTTTTCATCTCTGTAAATGCATGCTGATAGGTTTTATAAGCTATAAAATACTGACCAACAATTTTCAAGTACTTACAGATTGTAAAATAAAAATACATGTCTCAGGTTTTAGTTTTCAGTTTTCTTTAGCACACATGTGCTAGGCATGCACTCTAATACTGAGCTACATCCCTAGATCCATATCTCACATTTCCTTTGAAAAGTGGTTACACACACCTTTGAACCTATTAAACTAACTGAGAGTGGTTGCTTTACAAAGAGTCTTCCCTTTTATACCCCACTTTCCTATTTTTAACTAGATTTTCATTAAGTATCTAGCTAGTTCAGTGCACTTAAAAGATCTGATTTAGAAACAGCCTTTGGATATACATCTATTGTACATATGCACTAGGTTTAATTGTACTCAGTATTTATGCATCCTGTGAGAGGTATGCAGATATCACTGATAAATATCTGAGTGGAATAAAAAATTCAAGCCCCCATGAGGTTTTGAATGATGATAGTGTGATGATGAACAAAAGCTCAAAATCAAAAGATGCCTTTTTCTTAAAAGAAGTATACTAAGTAAATTGCAAAAAAAAAAGATGCCTTTTTCTTTCCTATAATAATAGAATTAACAATTTCACTCAATTAAAGATGTTTTATATTTTTCCTTATTTAAAGCTAACTTTGAATATTTATGTGTGTGGATTTTAATTAATGGAAGATACATTACAGTAAGATCTGTATAGCTCAGAAATTCCTGTAGGAGAATGGCGAGACTGAGAGGCTAACCAGGTTGTTAGTTTCATGTCAGTTGGGTGATTTCTTTTACTCTCTGATGCACACTAAAATGAAAGTCCCCAGATCTTAAAATTTCTGGCTGCTCATCTGGCTAAGTTCTATCTTGATCTTGATTTGCATCTGGTTATGTTTTAGGAAGTATTAAAAGACATATGGGAGATAAACTTCGTAACACACTTTTGCTAGTTCAGTGGTGTTTAAAAATAAAATCAAACTGAAGCCACAAGGTAGTATGACTACCATTGATCAGCAACTATTGCTGAATATGTCAAAATTTAAAGTTCATTCCCATTTGACTTGATGGGTTTTCTGAAGGTGAGGAAAGAAAGCAAAAGTGAGAATTCTCATTTTTTGTTTCTACCAACTCAGTTTACTAGAAATGGGATGTAACAGACATTTCCATGTGGGATAATAGGAAGTAATTCAAGTTCACACTCTGAAGAAGAACTTATTATCCTGCACTGAGAACCACATTTTTCTAAAGTTATCTCTCCTTTTTCATGCAAGCTCTCAGAATGGAATCATTTCAGGAAGTAGAGAGTTAGCTTGAAATATGGGCTTGTTTTCTTTCCACTGGATGTGAAATAGGAGTAGCCCTTATATCTTTCCTTGAAGTGAAATAGAGAACAATATTGGAGAATAGAGATTAAGAATTTTGCAGGGCCTTCAACTCATCATAGCCCTGGAGAAGAGATGTCAGTGGAGAATATGTGAGAGAATGATCATGCCAATATTTTGAGCTGGAATGGTAATGTTAATCAGAAAACCAGAGGTGGCCACTTGGCTCATTTATTAGTGCAAGAGGATAAATGCAGGCATTTGTCAAAAACAAGGTTTGAAGAGGGAAGAAAGGTTTCCTGATTAATTCCCAAATTACTTTCCTATTGCTCAAGCATCCCTGGGTAGTCCAGCATGTAAAGTCTCGATTGGTTAGAATATAATTTTGCAATATCTACTTTTCCTTTGGAAATACTTAATGACTCTTGCTTTGTATTCCTTACAGGTGAAAGCCCAGCCTCTGTGGTTCTTAATGCCTCAGCAGGATTATTTTCACTAAAGATGGAAACACTGGAGTCTGAATTGACCTGTCCAATCTGCCTCGAGTTGTTTGAAGACCCCCTCCTGCTCCCTTGTGCTCACAGTCTGTGCTTCAGCTGTGCCCATCGCATCTTGGTCTCAAGCTGCAGCTCCAGTGAATCCATTGAACCCATTACTGCTTTCCAGTGTCCCACGTGCAGGTATGTTATCTCGCTGAACCACCGGGGCCTGGATGGCCTCAAGAGGAATGTGACCCTGCAGAACATTATTGATCGCTTCCAGAAGGCTTCAGTCAGTGGGCCCAATTCCCCAAGTGAGAGCCGCCGGGAAAGGACATATAGGCCCAGTTCCGCCATGTCTAGTGAGCGAATTGCTTGCCAATTCTGTGAGCAGGACCCGCCAAGGGATGCAGTGAAAACATGTATCACCTGTGAGGTCTCCTACTGTGACCGTTGCCTAAGGGCCACACACCCCAACAAGAAACCTTTCACTAGCCATCGCCTGGTGGAACCAGTGCCAGACACACATCTTCGAGGGATCACCTGCCTGGACCATGAGAATGAGAAAGTGAATATGTACTGTGTATCTGATGACCAATTGATCTGTGCCTTATGCAAACTGGTGGGTCGTCACCGAGACCATCAGGTCGCCTCACTGAATGATCGATTTGAGAAACTCAAGGTAAGGGATCTGGAAAATATTCCTTACATGACTTTGACTCTTAACACATTGTTATACAGTTAGCAAGTTCCCTAATAAAATGGGTCACTTTTCCTATAGACAACTGAGTGATCTCCAAGTTGTTCTCATGAGCAATAACCTCACCTGCACGCTTTCATATACTTCTGGATAATTCCAGGGGAGTTAGCCCATGGCTCACTCCACCAGTAGTCCATCCAGAGAACCAGCACCCTCTCTCCTCTGTCAGTGGCATATTGCACATTGCATATCTTTGCTATGATCTTTCTACCTCTTCTTTTAAGTATGTGAGTGCCTGTGTAGGTGTACTACAATAAGCATATGCACTGATTTGCATGTTTGGGTGTGTCTCTGTGTAGGTGTGGGTGGAGGTGTCTGAGTGTATCTATATAGATGAGAGATTTTTGAGGAGGAAGTTAGCATATGTTTGTGTTTGCATGTTCAGTGCAGTAAAGAAACAAAAGTATTGGGGCTGGGGATGTGGCTCAAGCAGTAGCGCGCTCGCCTGGCATGTGTGCGGCCCGGGTTCAATCCTCAGCATCACATACAAACAAAGATGTTGTGTCCGCCGAAAACTAAAAAATAAATATTAAAAATTCTCTCTCTCTCTCTCTCTCTCTCTCTCTCTCTTTAAAAAAAAAGAAACAAAAGTATGCTATTGGCCATTACAAATTGTCATTAAGCTCTTAACACTGGTAATTCTAAACCTGCCTTAAGAATATAAAAAAGCTCAAAACAAACAACAACAAAAATTTTAATGTACCACAAAATTAGGAGGGATAATCAAAGACCTGTACTAGCAATTTCAACTAAATGCAATAAATATTTAATTCAGTATTGAATTTTGTGCCAGTGCTTGTTATTGTGGGCTATAGACTGAAGCACTTGTTTGCAGTACCCACCTGGGAAGTTCCAAGTCTTTCATTTGTGTTCAGTGGACAGTGGACAGTTTTCTGAAGTTGTAGCATCTGAAGTTTATGTGCAAGTCAAAGTTCCTATTTTTTTAAGTCTTCCTACCTCACATTGATGCTAACAAATGTCAGATGTATTGTTTTATTCCCATTGCCTGCTATGTGGTATAATTTTTCTTAAGAAGGAAGCTACAAAACAAAGATTCCATAAAAATAAAATCTTTAAATGGATAGTACTATTATTACCTCAAAATAGGATGTGAGTACAGAGGCCAAGCTAGAATAAAGAGCTAGATAGGGGCTAGGTGTGGTGGCGCATGCCTGTAATCCCAGTTGCTTGGGAGACTGAGGCAGGAGGATCTTGAATTCAAAGCCAGTCTCAACAATTTAGCGAGGCACTAAACAATTCAGTGAGACCCTGTCTCTAAATAAAATACAGAAAAGGGGTGGGAGTGTGGCTCAGTGGTTAAGTACATCTGAGTTCAATCCCCAGTACCAAGAAAGGAAAGGAAAGGAAAGGAAAGGAAGGGAAGGGAAGGGAAAGGAAGGGGGAAGGGAAGGGAAGGGAAGGGAAGGGGCGAGCTACATAGCATGTAAGGAGAGCAAGAAGGGAGTGAATATTTTCTTGCTTCCATGTTCTGGGAAATTCTTTCAAACTTATGTAAAATATATAATGTTGATGAGGGTAGCAGTAGTCAGAACAGGACACTTTTTCCCTTCTGTAATTTGTTGTAATTAATATTGAGAGTGGTCACATTGATAATGGTTTGTGCCAATTCAGGTTATTATTTATATCTAATATATATAAAATTCAATGTTTATCATTTGATTTCACTCAAGGTGATACTCTCATTCATATCAAGGCAACAGAGGGGGATTATCTCATTGACTTCAATCCTTAGAATCATAAAATTTTAGTCCTTATATCTGGTCTAGCCGAAATCTTACACTGTAAAGCTGCATAAACTGAGTCTTTGAAAGTTTAAGGGATTTGGCTAGTCACAGAATTGTTTACTAGTAGGAGAGCTGCAACTAAATCTCAGTGTCTAGGTCAAATTGACAATTTTTTCCATTGTAGCCTTCTGCCACTTTGTTTTGGATGTATGTTCATGAAATGTGATTTGAAACTTAACTTTATGCTCTAGCAACTGCACATTTCATGGGTCATAGATAAATGATTAGCAGCATCAAAGAAAGGGCATATTATATAAACTTACAACTTCATAGTGGTGATAGATGGCAGTGGGATTGTAGGAAGAATGGGGGATTTGGAGAGGATGGAACAATCTCTGCCAAATATTTGCAGGTGTTAGGACTATAATAAGGCATTGGCCTTGAGAAATTTTCCAAACAAATATCCGTATCCATATGTACTGTTGAGATAACAAAAAGACTGGAGAGAGTAAGCCTGTATCTACTGAACACCAACTATTTGAAAACATATGAAAACATTGGATGATTGATTAGACATTTGGCATCATACAGCTATATAACTCTTGTCTCAAGGGATAGAGGAAACATGAAAGTATTTATCAAAAGATGCTTCAGTCTGTGACTAGTCAGTAATTTTTAGAGAAAGAAAGAGCAGATTTTTAATAGTTCCCCTTTCGTTTTTTAGGAAATGTGCAGAAAATTTTGATTATAAATTAAGTGGAAACTATTTTTGCTCATTTTTGGACAGAGTGGAAACATATGAATCATTTCCAACTGTGTGGTTTGTTATGTTGTCTGGAACATCTTGGACTTTGAGGAGGAGAAGGAGGTGCTGCTTTGTGTGTGTGTATGTGTGTGTGTGTGTGTGTGTGTGTGTGTGTGTGTGTGCGCGCGCGCGCACGTGCTCATGAGTATGGTGGGGTCATTTTTGTTTGGTGCCAAGTGGAAAATAATATTAGTTCCCCACATTAAGCAGAGAGCAGTTCTGATTTTAGTGTCATATATACTCACTTCTTTGGGTTAAGTTTAAATTAGAGAAGCATTTAGGATTATCCTCTTAATCTGCTTGATTCCTCCCCAAGGAGAAAAGAAGAAAGCTGGCTAGCAGAAGCTGTGGGGGGAGACTGTCTGAGCATATTCCCCTGGCCCTGAGAGGGGCAGGGAAGTCCTGTAAGAGGATAGAAGGAGAAAACTGATTTTATTTATGTATATCTCAAAGAGGTTGACTTTCTGTCCTGTAACTAATACAGTGTTTATTTTTACTTTTCAACTCTGGAGCTTCGTTTTTAGTGTTTATAACTAACTTTTATGTACTAACCTCTCTGATTAAGATTAGTTGTTTCTAATATTTGCTTGTTCAGCAAAGTACAAACAAACCATTATGTTATAGATGAAAGGTTAGAATAACCAGAAGCTGGCTTGTCTTCTTAACATATACTCAAAATGAATTAGAAAGCTTGGGGATATTACATAGTATCAGGATCTTATTTAGTTGTCTAGTCTGCCTAAAAGATTGAGATGCAGGGCACACATCCTTCAAAAGGCTACCAGTGGTTCAATTAATTCTTCAATTTCAAAGGATACTTGTGTTCTTGATAGTTAGTACAGTTGTAAGGCCTACAAGAGTAATTATTTTGTTCATTGCTTCTTCTGCTTCTCTTGCTTCTCACTTACTAGTCCCAATATATATCTTAGTTCATGATATGCACTGCATTTGTATAAAACTATTTTACATTCCAGAATTTTCATCATCCCATGAGTTTCTCCCCTTATCAAAGATTGATATTATAACAATGATTGTTGACTTTATAAAAAGTGGTCAAATGTTGGTGGCTCTCTATTGCTGATAGACCTCAACTTGATACTCTGTCCTATACAACTTGGTTTCCATGCTGCTCATTTATCATTTCCCATTAGTACTCTGAAACATTCTACCTTCATTTACCCTCTTGTCTCTTAAACATCCCATTATCTTTTCTCACTCTTAACTTTTGCTAGTGCTATTCCCTTGGCCTGCTTAGGAATTATACCTATTTTTAGTGCTCAATTAAAACCCTGAAAGTCCACTCCAACGTACCACAGGTACATCCATAAATTCATTGAGATCAGTTTCTTTAGTATCCTCCTTAGTGCTTAGCACACATAGTATGATTTTGAAATACAAATGAATTGTCACCTTAATGGATTTGCAGGAAGTATACCATTTTCTGTAGCTTGCTTTGGTTCTCATCTTAGTGGATATAAATTGGTCTTGCCACTATGAATACTTTTGAGGTCTGAAAAGTCTCCTGTGAACTACTGACAATATTCAAAACCAGAGTGTTAGCAAAAGTATGGCATGTCCTTAATTTTAAATGCCTATTCATTTTGATTGCTGGATTTTCCAACTGCCTAACCCTATGGTGACATCTGTATAAATCAGATGTGATTATTATAATTCTCTTTGCGAATGATGTCTTCACATTTCCATGCCCACAGCCTGCCAAAACTATAGCTGATGAAAACCAGGGGGAATAGAGGAATTTCCTGAAAGGAATAAACAAGCACATTTTCTTTTTCTCATTACATTTCCACAAACTCATTACTACAAATAATTCTTAAATGAAGTTACATTTACATATGAGGAATCTCGTTGTTATAAAATATTACCTGGCACTGGAGTAAGCATTTTGCCAGTGGGAAATACACACACACACACACACACACACACACACACACACACACAGATTCCAAAACAGAGAGAACCAAAGATTGCCAGTCAAAGAAAAAGGAGATATGAGACTTGGAGAATGTTCAAAGGAAAGCCACAACAGGAGTTAAAAGGTTGGAAAATTTCTAGAATCTTATCACAGTTGATTACTTGTCCTTCTTCCTACTCAGTTGCTCTGTCATCCACTTATCCATTCTCACTCAGCTGCCACCTTCTCCCAGTTGTCCACTCACCCACTTGTCACTCACTTCTGTTGACAAAGACAGATACCCTCTCAACTTATATATCAGTGGGCATTTGACTATTTCTGAACCAGTATGAGTAGAAGATAAAAGTAAGGAAGAAAAATATCTTTATGAGAGATCAGCTTGAAAGAGGATATATTTGTATACATACGTATACATCATTTTATATGAATGTGTGTATTC